TATTACGTTTTCTGCTTTACTCTCACATTCCTACAGCCATATTGCATCATGGTTTTTTTTTAAAAGATTTTTAGCTACTATTTTGACTGCTTTTGCCCTATTTTTGGTTTGAGAAATTCTGCTTTGTTAGTTACATTAAAGAATCTATTTTAGGTGCTGCTTTAGCACCAAAATACTACCTTGCCTTGTTGCTGAAATGTTGTTTGTCTTGGCTTAGTTTTGGTTCATTTTCTGATGCTTTTTTTGCCATAAATTTTGTTGTTTTCTACACTATTTTAACCCAGAAAATTCTGCATTTTCCTGCACTTTCCCTTGCTATTTTCTGCACTATTTAACCTTGAGAAGTCTGCATTTTTCTACATTTTCCTTATTGTTTTCTACACTTTTTCCCTAGAATTTCCTGCCACTTATCAAAATTTTGCTATTTCTTGCCGAAAATTTTTGGAATGTTTGCTATCACAATGGGAATTTTTTTTTAAATATGGCTATTTATGTAAATTAATATACATATGCTAGTAAGGTTTTAGTGGGTAGAAATGGAAAGAGGAGATAGGGAGAAATTGTTCCCTTGGGTTAGAACTTGATGCTAGAATTAAAGACCAATTTAGTTGTATGAGGCATGTTGTGATCTAGTTGTTCTTGATAGGAAATAGGTTCTAAGACACCTTTGCCTCCTTGAGACTTGAATTCTAGTTTACGATATATCGACAAGGGGAGGTAAGTAAATTTATGATTCATCCTTAATCTCAAAATGTAAGTTTGAACCATGACTTTTATCGATTTTGAGATGGTGGTAGAATTAAAAGTCTATTTTGGCTTAACTACCATGACTAAATCTTATTTTATTGAGTTGGATTTCAATTGGTAAAGCAAGCCTATTTATACAAGTTTTTTTACATATATTACTTGTTCCCTGTTATACATGTTTTCTTGAATTTACTTGAAATGTACTTTCTAGCCTGTTTTAGTCTCCAATATAGTTATGTATTACTTGTGCTTGCTAGTGGGAGGTTTATAAACGCTAGCACATGTCAACATGTTACTTATGGAACCATTTCATTCTTGTTATATAAGTTATCCTGCTAGTGGGGTTATATACTTGTAAACCTTGTCCCCACCAATGGAAGTTTTATAAACGCTGGTCATGACTTATAAAGGAGACGTCTATTTCATTTCCTGTATTCGTATTGTTTTTCTTAAAATTTTGTTACACTTGATGGCATGCTTAATTATAAATGAGCGTTATCCATATTTTATTTACTGAGATATCTCATAGTTTTCCTTGTCCACCATTTTAGGTAGTGAGACCCAAGACATGGGAAACTAAGAGGAGTGACGAGCTAGAAGGCTGGTCATTTGTATTTTGGTCTTAGATCGTTTTGGAGTTAGGCCGCTAGTCACACATACTTTGACATAGATGTTGGATAATAGATCATTCTTTTGTGTACTAAAGTTTCCTAGGATATAGCCATGAATGTACTGATAAAGTTATATAACTTTTGGGCACTTTGACTAGTTAAACTTTGGTAATTGAAACCTATATACTATTTAAGTTTTTAGATCTAAGTTATGTGGATTGGTAGTTATGAATTTAGCAAGTTCCGAGTCTTGTGCATTTGTGAGACC